TGAAATAATTATTTGAGTTTAAGCTCTTGTGTGGACATTTTCATTCTGGAAGAACAGTGTCGTTTCCCAGTTTAGTTTAACCAAGTTACATGGGTCAAGTCCTATGTACTTACTCAGGATTTAGGTCCATAGGGGTTTTGTTTGTTTGTTTCAGACAAAGTACTGCTAATTATGTCCTTGACAGCTTTGCACTGTATGTATTTAAAGTTCCAATGAGCTTTCTATTATTACCAAATTGATCTGTGGTTTCTTCTTTTGAAAAATGAGGGCATATTTAGGGGAAAAAACAGATTGATGTGCTTGTAGGTTGTGCCTAGTGAAGACATGGCTGCGGAATTATCAGTTATATTAATAATGTTTCACTTGCCCTTGCAATTTAGCTGATTCACCTAGCAAGTGTTTGCTGTGTGGATAAATCCAAATGGCTTTTGCACACTGTATAACCATGATTGTACAAATGAATCCTAAGGCCCCTGAAGGACCAATCCACCAACTGGTACAAACACCTGGAAAATGCCACGAAAAGCTGCTGTGCGGGAACACGTGATATTGTGCTACGACAAACTGCTCCAACATTTTCATCTCTGACTCTAAAACTCAGTCTGCACCATCTTCAGAAGTTCATTGGAAGAGTTGCACAGTATTTCAGAATCCAGATTGTTTTGAATCCTGACACACGAGGTTGCTGTTGAGTCTCCTGATGTTTTTCTTTTGTCCTTGTGATTGTTTAAAGTTGTATTTATTTAACTTCCATAATAACATATTCTGCCCCTAGTTACACTCGTTCAATTCCACAGCCAGCCTTTGTCTTCCATTGTCATAAATAAGGATATGGGGATACAGAATCCGCAGCTCCGTTTGGTCTTGCTCTGATTTTCCAAACATTTAAACAGGATGATTAATTTTTTCCCCTAGAATTTACAGTAGCCCCATCCCTTCATCTCTGTCTCCACCTGACATTCTTAAATAGGATTGTCTTCTTGGGACAATATCCATTTCTGTGACAGCTCTATACTCCTGGCTTCTGGAGCTATAAAACTCCACCGAGCTCCCGTGCCAATTTCACACAGGGTTTGCCATATGCCACTTCAGTAGCAGTTTTTGACTCTCAGTCAAAAGCATCAGAAAAATCAGCATGAAGGTGTTCCATTCCATATGGAGGGATTCTTATTTGACCTTTTCCTCCAACGCTAGCTTCACTGGGCGAAAGGAAAGGAAGCAGTGGCTCCTTCATGCTTTGGGGCGCTCATCCTGGAGTTCATCTTCGCTTGAAACGTAGCCTTTATTCTCAGTACCTGGAAAACAGAGTCTGTCAGAAGAGGTGTGCTACTGAGCAGAGTGTTTCTAATAAGGGAACATTATACATCAGTTCTCACTAGGATGACTACACTCTTGAATCTAGATCCTTGCATGGAATAAGGCAGAACTTATACTGTTGCATAAAACCAGAAGCAGTCCTTCTGATCTTGCCTTTTGCCTGAGAAAGACTGATATCCTGCTCCAGAGAATGGCCTAAAACCCCACAGTGAGCTGAATTATGTAGTACTTCCAATGCCATTTTAATATTGTAATGTTGTGAGGTTACTAGAGGAGTTGCCAAAAATGGCAATTTGCTGACTTTTAGGACACATTGCAAAGCTTACTGCCCCAGGATATGAGGAATTTATTTAGTCTGCTAGGGTACGTCTACACTAGCTCATTAGTTCGAGTAGGCAGGGTAATTAGGGCAAGCAGAGTTGCAAATGAAGCCCGGGATTTAAATATCCTGGGCTTCATTTGCATGTTCCCGGGCGCCGCCATTTTTAAATCCCCCTTAGTCCGAACTCCGTGCCCGCGGCTACACACGGCACAGAGTAGGTAGTTTGAATTAAAGATCCTAATTCGAACTACCATTACTCCTCATTCCATGAGGAATAATGTCTCTTCCAAAAAAGCTCTTTCAGAAGAGGGTGTGTATGGACACTTCACTGCTGCTATGTTGAAATAGCTCCTCACCAGGGCCATTCTAAGTTATTCCTCCCCAGTGCCTCCTGGGGCTCTAAATCAAGATAGCACATCCACATTAGGGTAGCCTATCTTGCACTAATTCTGAGGCTTCCCTGTAGTGTGAACACTCTAAGCTACTCTGGACGATATCTTCTGGAATAGCTTTTTCTGAAATAAGCATGCAGTGTAGATGTACCCCGAGAGTGTATTTTAGCTTGAGGTAGAAACAGCTACAGCAGTTGGATAGGCTGGCAGAGGAAATTACAAATGGATATAGAAACCTCTGCAAAATTGCTGTGCTTCCTTACGATCTTCCTCAACATAAAGGGCCGTCAGGAGGAAAAAGCCTCCCCCAAGGACACCAACGAAGGCACACAAGATGAAGCTGTACTGCAGGCTCCGGAATGCCCCCAGGTATGAGTCACTGTGTCTGGCCTGGATAGCGTCAGAGACCTAGGAAAGAGAACACAGTGTCATTTAATTGGACTCAATGGCTTCTTTTCTCCATGCTTTAATGTGCTGCTCACAGAGACATCACTGACGAGAACAAGAGAGAGGACAGGTGAGGAAAACTTGCCTGTACTTGCTACGTCTGGTAACATACAAATTGGCCTTCCCTGCATCTCAGTCCAAGTCTTATGTAATCAGGTTGTTGAATATGTCCAAAGCTTCCAGTTTCCCAAGAGCTGCAAATAGCTGCAACCATGGCAGGATGGACTCATGCAGTAGCCATTAACTCAATTCAATGGGTTTCCTACTTGACCTCCAACAAACAGGTCTGAGCCACATTGCAAATCTGAGCAAAGGGGCTGAGTCCTTTCTTGCATTATCAGAAGTTCTTCACCCATCCCTAATCAAGGCTTTCACTTTTGATCGATGGGGTAGGCGTCAAAGCTGGCACTGTCGGAAGAAGCAGGCGGCAGCAGCAAGAGCCAAAAAGAGAAGGGAAGAATTGTACAGGGGCGTCAGGGTGAGGAAAGGCAGTTGGATTTTGAGCAAGAAAGCATTCAAGATGAGGTGGAGTAACATGGGAAGAAATGGGAAGAAGAGGTCCTATTAGCTGCATATTCTGAGGAATGGAGGAGAAGGCTGTAAAAGTCACAAAGGGCCCAAGTGAGTTTTAAGCTGTGTGGCATATAATGAGCACTCATCTGAAGATGTCAAGTATCAGAGGGGGAGCCGTGTTAGTCTGAATCTGCAAAAGCAGCGAGGAGTCCTGTGGCACCTTATAGACTAACTGAAGTGTTGGAGCATAAGCTTTCGTGGGCAAAGACCCACTTCGTCTTGACATACATCTGACGAAGTGGGTCTTTGCCCACGAAAGCTTATGCTCCAACACTTCAGTTAGTCTATAAGGTGCCACAAGACTCCTTGCCGCATCTGAAGATGTTCTGCCAAAACCCTCTGTATTTAATCTCACTTCCCATGTGGTTAAAGTACCCAGCTGTGTCTACATTGGCATCCCTTTCTGGAAAAGGGATGCTAATGAGACCAGTCGGAATTGCAAATCCGCGGGGGATTTAAATATCCCCCGCGGCATTTGCATTTACATTTACATGGCTGCCGCTTTTTTCCGGCTTGGGGATAAGCCGGAGAAAAGCGCCAGTCTAGACGTGATTCTCTGGAAAATAAACCCTTTTCCGGAGGATCTTTTATTCCTACTTTCAAGGATCCTCCGGAAAAGGGTTTATTTTCCAGAGAATCACGTCTAGACTGGCGCTTTTCTCCGGCTTATCCCCAAGCCGGAAAAAAGCGGCAGCCATGTAAATGTAAATGCAAATGCCGCGGGGGATATTTAAATCCCCCGCGGATTTGCAATTCCGACTGGTCTCATTAGCATCCCTTTTCCAGAAAGGGATGCCAATGTAGACACAGCCCCCATGTAGAGCAGAGCTGAGGGATGGATATAGAAAAGTACAGTTCTTTTTACTCTTACATTGGCCTGGCATAGATCTGAGAAGCTAAATGAAGAAAAGATTCTTCACTATCTGTAAGTAGGGCAAAGTTTAAATAAATCCATTAGGTTTTACTGTTTTATGGTATGGGAATGGGAATCTGATGGCTGTGCATTTAAAAATGGGTTTTGCTCTCCTTTGTAACTAAGCTTTTGGCCCATGGTGGAATCCCCCCCATGAGTATATTAATTTGTGATTTTTCCATCTAGTCATTATGCTTGCAACAGGAATATTGTGGTGATAATAAAAGTTCTTTCTCTTTTCTTTTATTAACCTGGTACTGGTTAATTTTTGTGTCCTGGTTTTTACTTTTGGGGCTGAGATTTCCCAAGTGGTCTCTCCCTGGTTTCCTTATCACTACTTGGGTGGTGGCAGCGGATTTTTATCCCCAAAATCTAGGTTTTTTTAGATTTTGGGGGGAAGTTTTATACCAAAACCTGGAAAGATAAGGTTATGGGATACTTTTGTAGGCCCCCACTTCTGCATTTATCATGTCAGAGTGGGGAATAAGCCTTGATGGACACAAAGCCAGGAGCTCCATCACAGCAGTCGGGGAGGCAAACATGGCCTCCTGCTGCTTTGCCTGCTGCTCCTTGGTGGCTCTTCTCTCCTGGTGCTCCGCAATCAAGTCCAGGTGCTCTGCCCACATCTCCTCCATGAGGGAGTGCACACTGTCAGTCTGCTCCCAGAACATGGAATCATAGAACATAGACTCCTAGAACTGGAAGGGACCTTGAGAGATCATCAAGTCCAGTCCCCTGCCCTCACGACAGGACCAACCACCGTCTAGGTCATCCCTGATAATATCCAACCTGCTCTTAAACATGTCCAGTGATGGAGATTCCACAACCTCCCTAGGCAATTTATTCCAGTGTTTAACCACTCTAACAGGCGGGACGTTTTTCCTAATGTCCAACCTAAACCTCCCTTGCTGCAATTTAAACCCATTGCTTCTTGTCCTATCATCAGAGGCCAAGGCGAACAATTCTTCTCCCTCCTCCTTGTAACACTCTTTTAGATACTTGAACACTGCTATCATGTCCCCTCTCAGTGTTCTCTTTTCTAAACTAAACAAGCCCAATTCTTTCAGTTTTCCCTCATAGCTCGTGTTTTCTAGATCTTTAATCTTTTTTTTCTCTCTCTTCTCTGGTCCTTCTCCAATTTCTCCACATCTTTTTTGAAATGCAGTGCCCAGAACATGTTCTCCCTTGTCCACTTTCGCCTGCGGATCTGAGCCAGGTGAGCAGATGCTGTAAGAGGGGGAGTACGCACTGAGCTGGCTGCTCTCCCAGCTGTAAAGAAAAGTTACAAGGGCAGACTTTACAGCAGTTACGTTGTGTTAAGCCTAACGCTAATCTGTCAGCCTACACTGAAGGTCTCTTTAAAAACAAAGAAGATGTGTTCCATGCAAGGCCAAATGTTTGCTCTAAAGAAGGCACTTTACAGCAGGTGCACAGACATCTCAGGAGAACATCAGGACACACTTGGTCCGAAGGCAGGGAAGCACAGTAAGGGGCCAGACAGGGCAGGAGCCTGAAGGCAGAAGTAGGAAGGGTGGGGCGGATTGGTTTCCCACTGTATCCGGCACACACTGGGAACAGCACACATTTCTCCCCAGGCACACTGCTTTTCCTGCCTGCAGGGGTCAGGATTTGTGTCCAGAACACGCAGCTTCCCGGGGTGAGTGCTTCCCCTCCTCCTTCCTCCAGGTTGCCATGTGAGATATCAGTCTTCTCTGGATCACACGGAGTGATTGGGAGTGTATGCTGACTGAATGCGGCCATAAAACTAGCCCTTATGCAGCAATGCTTTGTGGTTCCATGGTGATAGACCACTTACTCATGGCTTGACATGGGAAGGTGTCCTACCGCGGAGGACAGAATAAGGCTGGCCTCCCCAAAAATCTTGTGCAAAGATTCAAAGAGTTCTTATGTGAGAGCTTCATGGAGCTGTGCAGGTAGAACTCCCACATCATCTGCAGACACGTTAACAAGCTGCAGCAGACCATCTGCTCACCTTCTTTGCCTTATAGTAGGACTGCCTCTGTTTCTTGATTTTCACTCGGCACTGCTGGGCGTCTTCGGAATAGCCTTTAGCCACCAGACAGCTTGCAATCTTGCTGTAAATGTCAGTTTTCCTCTTGCTGGTTCAGAGGTCAGAGAGGATGGATTCATCGCCCCACTCCTCGATGAGGTCCAAGATCTCCTGGACACTCTACGCTAACACTCTTCTGCGCCCCTGGGAACTGGAGCCCATGAGAGCAGAAGTATTTGAAAGCAGTGTTAGTAGGATTGTTCGAAGTCATCTTCACTTGTGGCACGATACGCTGCTCACTCTGAATATGCTCGCAATGCTGGCCACACAGGAAATGCCATTCTAATTTTCCCATGGCTTTTTGAGCTCGTCAGCGAGAGCAGTAGAGGTACAGCAGCGAGAGCAGTAGAGTTCTGGCCAAGGCAGTCAGAGCAGGGATTTGCGGGAGGCCTCCCAGAGGCCAATATCTTTGACTTTCAAGCAACGCTGCATCTACAGTACTATAAATTCGAGCATGCAATGTCGGGAATAGTGTTACTCCTTATGAAAAACAGGAGTACTGAAATTGACTTCAGCAGCCCTTAAAGTCGATGTGACTGACTTGGTAGTACGGACACCTCTCTTAGAAAAGCAACCATATGTGGCTAAATTCAATGTAAAGCCCAAGTTTATTCCAGGCCTGAGAGACACTGATGGGAAGGATCTCTTTTTGCGGTATAGATGTACCGTCTGAAAAAAGGCGTTTACAAGTCTTCCAGAGTAGGGTTTTTTTTTTTAATAAACCAAGAGCTAAAGGAAGCCGGTTAGCATGCAACAGCAAGACCCAAACATGGACTATCCTGTGTCTGGCCAAGGAAATCAGGGTTGGGTGAATTTCAGAAGGGTGGATGGTGGGATTCACATAAGCCTCCCAAAGTCTGATATTTATCCGAATGTCTTAAGTACAGAAATTCTGCAAAAAAGAGGCTTTTGACACAAGAATCCCATCTGAAAATACAACAACCTCAGTCATTACCTTATTACCTCTGCTTAGCATAGTGCTGCTTGCAAGGACAATTCCATCATTATGTATCATCACGTGTTATGAGTTAAGGTTGGGATAAGACATAGGGGAAAAAGTATAAGAGCACAGCCTCCTAAATGCTTTTCATGTAAATTACTAGCAGGATACAACAGGCCTAGGAAATGGGCTTGCAGAAGCTGCATGACAGAACAAAATCTAGACCAGAAGTTGACAAAGCCTTCGGTGCGGATACTAGGCCCTAGTGGGCATTTATACACACCAGAACGCATCACTACAGGTGGCACTAATTTGGAACTGAAGAGCCCCCACAATGCCATCTTGTGACAGGATTCTGGATATCTTGGCTGCAGGATTAACCTATCAACTGGGATTCCTATTGGCCATGGGTAGCAGCTGCACCAAGTGAGCCAAAGGGAAAGTGACTGGTTTGTGAGGCATCCATAACATGCCAATTTTACACCCTTCTTAAGAACAAAACTAATGGAAGGGATCACACAGTTCTTGAATGGATATGCAGAAAGCATTGAATGGCAAAGACATAAAAGCTGTGAGAGGAAGTTTGACCAACTTTATTTACCAATAGTGATAAGAGACTCAGGTCTCATTAATAGGGTGTTACCAAATCCATGGTCCATTTTGGTCAATTTCATGATCATAGGATTTTAGAAATCACAAATTTCATGATTTCAATTATTTAAATATGAAATTTCATGGTGCTGCAATTGTAGAGGTGCTGATCCCTATAATTTTAATTCACCCCTTATCTACTGCACTCCTCTCTTCTGTGCAGTAGATAAGGGGTGAATTAAAATTATAGGGATCAGCACCTCTACAATTGCAGCACCATGAAATTTCATATTTAAATAATTGAAATCATGAAATTTGTGATTTCTAAAATCCTATGACCCCTGAGATCTTGCTTACAGATTTTATTGGATTATATTTTACATTTTGAAGTGCAAAATATTATGTTATGAGTTGCTACCAAATATGAATGAGTATAGCTGATATCAAAGTGAGGTCTGAATCCTGCAGATACTTTTGCACACAGTGAAACTAATGGTATGTATAGAATTAAGTGTGTATTTACATATTTACAAGGCCAGGAGGCCAACAGTGATATACACGCTTTAAAACAGAAGGGCTGGGTTAAGTTGCATCTGGGTCAGAGTTCCACACTGCAAAAAAGACAATTAAATGCATTTCCAATATGGGACCAGAAATCTGAGCCTATTCTTCAGAAAATTCCAAATGTTTTATATTTTGAAAGGTATGGATACGCTGCAGAGAAGTAGTCAAAACATCCCCATACTTACAATTCCAATGAGGTATGGGCTGCCTGTATCTCCCAGCAAATGGCTCACTGAAATCTGCAAGGCAACAGCTGTTGACTGGCACTTTGGTACCACCACGTACTGAAAGAAAACAAGAGGATCATCAATATTTGAAGACTCGATAATTCTGTAAGTGACCTGCACAGACCTAGATTGAAAGTTGCAGACTACTTTCTGTGACTACTCTTGGGAAAACTACTCAGTGAAAAAAATTCAGAAGAAAGAATGAAGGTGAAATGGGGAGGAGTGACACCCCATTAGTAGCCTTCCCCTCCTCCGATAACTGGAGAGCTCTTAGTTGGCCGCTTCCCTTTGAATGGTCTGTTGTTTAGCATATGGAGTTAACACATATTTCAGTCCATTTCACAATGCATTTAGCAGCATACATTTACCAGATCTAGAGAAGAGTTCTGTGTAACCTCAAAAGCTTGTCTCTCTCACTAATAGAAATCGGTCTAATAAAAGACCACACCCAGCTCGTCTCTCAATGCAGGGTGTACCGATTCATTTCGCCATGCCATTAGCTTTTACAGACAATGCTGAATGATAGGTGTTGTGGTTTTATTGATTTACCTTAAGCAGATACTTGCTCTGCAATTTTCTCTGTCGTTTCACCCACACTGTCAGTTGCCCTGGCCCTGAAGAACAGCTTCATCTTGGATTGAGGGTATTTCTGACTCCAGACTGAGTCTGGAAACTCTGCCAAGTCTAATAAGGATGCCAGCCGAGACAAAACATTATGCATTCCAAGTCACTAGGGTTGGAGCTCAAACTTTTCACACAGGACATCCAAAAAGGTGTCAGATGCTGGCAATTCTACCTCTGATGACCAACTAAATTCTATTAATCCCTAGAGACATCCATTCTACCCAATAATATTGCTCAGAGAGTGCTTTAATTACAAATACTTTAAAATAACCATTTGAAAGAACATATGTACCCGTGTGTCCATGACACTTGAAAAGCACTGGGATAATTACAGTCATGTTTTATAAATGAAATATGATTATGGTTAATGGAATATGATTTTGGATAATGGAGGAGATAAACTATGTATAAAAGGCACATTGGGATCCTACATTGTTAGTGCTTCTTTTCTATACTTTCTGTTCTGACACTATGTTTACATTATTAGACACAGCCAGGAAACTTATTTGCAGAGCACTAAAATAACAAAAATTATAAAGCTTTAGGGCATTTTGTTTTCAAGTACTTGCCATCTGCTCACTTTGAAGACAAAAGCACATAGTGTTCTCTGCACCTCCTGTTTCCAAACTTTATAGTCCAGGATTTTTATTGGTGTGATTTTTGAAGGCAAAGACACATTCATACATACAGCCCAGAGATAGCATACTCAGCCTCAAACCAACTGCAGTCAAGTCTAAGCCAATCTGGAGCCCACAGATACACAGCGATATTACGGTAGTGTCACGAGTCCCCAGCTGACAACAGGGTTCCATTGCACTAGGTGCTGGGTAGCCAGTATAAGCCTATCCTTGGAGATGGAGTGTGTGTTCACGTGTCCTCAGCACGTTAGACGAGACTTTATCCTAATAGTGGAAAAGGATAACTTGTATTTTAGAAGTTTCAGGGGGTAGCTGAGTTAGTCAGAACCCAGCCCTGCAATCAGCCACGGTACCAACTCTACCTACATATCTATACAAGTGAATATATATGGAGCCAACAACATAAGCTACCAAATCAGAGGCGCGTTTAACTGTACCTCCAGTAATTTGATCTATGCCATCAAATGCCAGCAATGCCCCACTACTACATATATTGGACAAACTGGACAGTACCTACAGGAAAGACTCAATGGACACAAATCAGATATATGTAAAGGGAACATACAGAAACTTGTTGGAGAAACTTCAATCTACCTAATCACTCTTTAAAAGAGCTCCAGGTGGCTGTCTTGTCACAAACCAGTTCTATAAGCCAAATACACAGAGACTGAATTCATCCACAAATTCAATTCTCACACTGATGACATCCTCAATCGAGATAACGGATGGCTGGGACATTATCAATCTAACATTCATTTCTGTGCCAGGCATGTGGCATATGGGCATCCCTGCCCCTGGGCACACAGCACAGGAGTGGTGCTGGCCCCAGGCACGTGGCACATGACACATGTGCCGTGGGCGCGCGGCGTATGGACACATGTGCCGGCTTCTGGGTGTGCTGCGTACGGACGTCCCCACCCCTGGGCACGCAGCACAGGAGCGGTGCTGGGCACAGGCGCAGAGCGCATGGGTGCTGCTGGCTTATGGGCGTGTGGCACAGGAGCGGTGGCAACCCTGGGCATGCAGTGCATGGGCTGTTCTGGCCCCGGGCGCACGGCGTATGGGCAGCCCTGCCCCTGGGCAGACGGCACAGGAGAGGCACCAGCTCCAGGCGCGTGGCGTATGGGCAGACCCACCCCTGGGCGTGTGGCACAGGAGAGGCGCCGAACCCGGGAGTGCGGCACATGGGTGGCGCTGGCACCGGGCACGTGCATGGGCGGCCCCACCCCCGGACACGTGCGCAGCCCCTCCCCCAGGTGCATCTGTGGCCCCGCTCCTAGGTGCCCGGCGCCTGAGTGGCCTCTCCCCTGGGCGCCCGGCAGCCCCAAAAGGTTGGGGACCACTGGTCTAGATCATCCCTGACGTGTCTGTCTAACCTGCTCTTAAATATCTCCAGTGATGGAGATTCCACAACCCCCCTAAGCAATTTATTCCAGTGTTTCCTAATGTCCAACCTAAACCTCCCGTGCTGCAATTTTAACCCATTTCTTCTTGTCCTAACCTCAAAGGCCAAGGAGAACAATTTTTCTTCCTCTTCCTTGTAACACCCTTTTAGATACTTAAAAACTGCTATCATGTCCCCTCTCAGTGTTCTCTTTTCTAAACTAAAGAAGACCAATTCTTTCAGTCCTCCCTGCACAGCTCATGTTCTCTAGACCTTTAATCATTTTTGTTGCTCTTCTCTGGATCTTAGCCAATTTTTCCACATTATTCTTGAAATGTGGTGCCCAGAGCTGGACACAACACTCCAATTGAGGCCTAATCAGCGCAGAGTAGGAGAATGACTTCTCGTGTCTTGTGCACAACACTCCTATTAATGCAATCGTATGAGCTGCTTATCCTGTGGCCAACACACAAGAGTTACACTATATTTCAGGCATGTGAAATTCATTTTTTCAGTTTCTATTGGCTGCCTAACTCTCTAAATGTGGTTTAATTGGCAGCCTCTTCCCTCCCAAAGCAGTGCTACTTGGACAAAGCACTGTTACATAAAAAAGCAAGCAAAATTTTGTTCCTTTTTTTAAAAAATGAAGGAAAATTAAGGTTGGAGTGAGAGTTTGGGGTTGAGGCAAAGCAGATGGTGTGTGGCTTAGGGCAGAAGGTTGGGAAGTGGGCATAGAGTGGGGGGCTCCTGGCAGGGAGAAGGAGTGCAGAAGTCAAGGCAGGTGGGAGGTGCAGGACTCAGGGCAGGGGGCCCAGGACAGGAGGCTGGGAGGGGGCCTTACTGGGACCACCTGGGGCGGTGAGGATGGCACTGCTCTGGTGGTGAATCCTCCAGAGGGCTGGAGTAGCGCTCCCCTACCAGCGCCACCACACACACACCTCCCCCCCACCCGCCACAGCTGCCTTCCCCATGGCACCCCCATGGCATACAGGCTGCCTGAGAGGGGACCATGATCCAAAGACTGCGGCCCCCACCAGCATCCCCCCTCAAGACATGAAGACTGTCTAGGGATGGCGAAGCTCACCCCTCCAGCAGTGCCCCCTGAAGCCTGTCAGGGGATGAGGCTCCAGGGGCTGCCCTTAGCCTCCAGCAGCCTCATCCCATAGCTTGCAGGCTATCTAGAGAGGGGCCAGGTTCCAGGGGCTGCCTCCATCCAGCAACCCACTACACACAGCCTGCAGGCTTTCCATGGTGGGGGCAAAGACTCCAGATGTGGGGCACGGGGGGAAGGGAGGGCTCCTTATCAGTGTGCTGACAGGCAAAGTGCCAGAGGCCCAGCCCTGCTGGCTCTTCTCTTGGGCTGTGTCTAGACTGCAGGGTTTTTTTGAAAAAAGTAGCCTTTTTTAGAAAAAACTTCACCTGCGACTAGACTACTGCCACGTTCTTTCGAATTAAATCGAAAGAATGCGGCGTTTCTTTCAATGGCGGTAATCCTCATCTCACGAGGAATAACGCCTTTTTTCGAAAGTGTTCTTTCAAAAAAAAAAAGGCGCTCTTGAACGCAAACAGGGCTTTTTCGAAACAGAGCATCCAGACTGCCTGGGTGCTCGCTTTCAAAAAAGCGGCTCACTTTTTCGAAAGAAGTCTAGACACTCTCTTTCAAAATAGGCTTTTTCAAAAGATTCTTTCAAAAAAGCCTTTTTTGAAAGAGACTTGTAGTCTAGACGTACCCTTGGTGCTGCAGCTGCCCCACAGTGGCCACTTTCAGTATCACATCTCGCCTTTCTGTGCCCCTCTCTTCCATGTTATAGAAAATAGTCCCATTCCCAGCACTTCATGTTTTCCAGGCACATCCAAATCCTGATCTTGGTTTAAGTTACGGTAAGAAGAAGCTGCATGTCAAATTTGGTGGTCCTAGCTCTTATGGTTTCGGAGGAGCTCTTGAACAAACGCACTCACAGGTAGACAGACACACTCTAAAATATAGAGAGAGATTCTCTAACAGATGTTTAAGGGACTCAGATATTTATCCCCTTTTCCTTAGACAAGTGGTTTGAAAATCCACCCCTGGATTAAGGCAACCCTTGGATTTTACAATGAGATGGGGCAACCCCAAAGCTCAGATGTCTATGAGCCACTCTGATCTTTCCAGTAAGCAAATGGGGAGAAGCTATGGAACACTGTATTCCTATCTTTGTCCTCTATGGAAGGACAGTTTCTTCGGCTAAATGATCATGTGCTTAAAATCCTAGATGAGACAGAACCAGACAAAGACACAGCGCTGCATTGTTAATTATTAACATTCTCATAAATATAGAAACGGCCCCTCACCTGAGGGCACCTCATGAAGTATTTAACGCGATGGCTGGTGTTTTTCTTTCCACACCCAAGGTGTCTGCATTAGCTGCTAT